AATCACGTGTTAAACTCTAGTAAAACTGCCCGTAATATACACGTGCTTTGGTTTACGCCTGGATTACGAAAAACACGTGCCTATATAGGTTTTATTTCCGAAAAAGAATCTAGATGTGCCAATAGGGAACAACTGAGAAATTCCACGAGTTTTTACGCGATGTTCTTCCTTCAAAACTGCGTTTAACCATCCTACGGTGCTCTTGCTATCACTGTATTCTGTTAACCCTTTTATGTCCCACTTACTAGCTAAGTTTAGTCCTCGAAGTATCGAATCCAGTTCACTTATATTGATATGGTGTGTGTCACTTGCTGGCCGTAGCCATGCTGCGTCTTCAACAACTACTCCACCAATGAGCAGAACTACCCCAAGTCCTATGGATGATGCATCACAATAAAGCTCAGCTTTTCCATTCACTGGTTCCAGCCATTTTCTACCAACCGAATCCTCCATTTCCACACGGTGGAGCAAATCTTTCAGTTTTTCTTTACAATCTTCTTTTTTTTTTTTTTTTTATTTTGTGGAGGTTTACATTGTAACCCAATTTATGCAGATGCTTTGCTACATTTTCCGCAGTTTCCACACTTTCATCCACAAATATATCATCAATGTAGTTATCACATGCTTTCTTTACAGTTGGATTTAAATTGAACACATGTCGAAGAACTGTAGTCATTATTGTTGGAGCCACATTAATCCCGAAACACATTCTGGCAAAACAATATCGTTTCCCCCGTTTGATATGGCCAGAGTCTTTTACAATATAAATTTGGAGGTAGGCTTTTTTAAGATCAAGACTTTTTTCATTTTTAATTTTTTTCTAACAACGCAGTTTTCTTGACAAACGTCCGCATTCGCTGTATGACAATTTACAAGTTCATGAGAACTCGGAAATCTCCCACTGGACATACCTTTTTGTCCTTATTTTCGTTAGTTCGTTATATAGTACCAGAATTCCAGAACTAATCCATTCATTTATTTCTTTGCGGTAACTACGTTCGTACTCATGGTTCATCTTGTATTCACAAATGGTATTATCAATTACAGGCTCTTTATTCCACTTCCATGATGCCGTCCACTTTTTCCCGTCAAAAGTTGCTGCGAAGTCCTGATGTTTTATTTTGTTTCTTTTGTTTTCTTCATTTGTATTTTTGGCATCACATTTTATTTCGTTTATTCCATTTTCAATTTTTATCGTTGTAGTAACGGCACATTTTATTCCGTTTCTTTTGTTTTCTTCATTTGTATTTTTGACATCACATTTTATTTTGTTTAATTCGTTTTTGTTTTTTTATCGTTGTAGTAACAGCACCACATTTCGCTGTGTCACATGCTAACATTCGGACAGTACGGTTTTTATTACCATAAATGATGACTCCCCCAAATTTTTTAATCGCATTCATTCCAAAAATCAAATCAAACCCGAATGGTTTTTCTTTTACAACCAGAGAATTAACAATTCAGTGTATTCCATCAATTTCTAATTTGATTACCGTTTCACCCAGCACATGCACAGCTCCTCCCAGTGTTGTGATAAGTTTTTGACTTTTTAAAACAAGACCATGCGTGGATTTAGCATGAACCACAGTGATGGAGCATCCAGAATCAGTTAATGCTGTTCGGAGCATTCCATTTATTTTCACTTTTTTATGATGGCAACGTCATTTCTGGAAGAATGCTGGATGCCATTATTTCCAAATTTTTCCTTTTCCTTTTAAACTTTGCAATCATTTGTAGCAGCCTTTAGCTTGATGATCGTGTGAACAAGTCTTGCATTTTGCTTTGCTGTCCCGTACAAAATGTCCAAGTTTTCCACAATTAAAACATGTAACTTTGTTTGTGTCGGACACACTAGATGTCCGCGGAAGTAACGATGTTGCTGCAGTCATTACATTATCGGAACCATCTAATTGTCGAGCTTCCTGGGTTACTCGTTCAAGAGTAACAGCAATTTCCACAGCCTTTGCAAACGTTAGTTCTTCAGATTCCTATAATAACCGTTTGGTTGTAACACTATCGTAAAAACCCGTGATGAATTGGTTGCGCATTCGATCATCTCTTTCCGTGAATTTGCACCCTTCAGCAGCTCTTGCAATTCGTCGTGAAAATTCCGTCACACTTTTGTTACTTGTTTTTTTATAGTTACAAATTCGAAGCGTAGCATTAACGTCAACTTCGGTTCAAAAAGCTTCAAGATGTTTTCCTTGATGTCTTCGTAGGTAACTGAGACATCTTCTGGGTATGCAGACAAGCATAAATCTTCCAGTGCAGAATAAACCTGTGGTGGCAAACATGTTAATATTATTGTTTTCCTTTTGGATTCGGGTACGTCCATCGCAGTTATGTATGTTCGTAGTTGGCAGACATACCGCTGATGGTTGCCACCGAATACCGGCGGCATAATTGCCGAAATAGCTTGTTGGATCGTCGTGTCCATAAATTAATAAATAGAACGTATTATTTTATAGCTTTTTTCTAACCTCACTAATTCTATACAAAAGTCGTCACTATATATATATAAAATAACAAAAAGTCTAATGAGAATACTTTTAATTAAATTGAAATAACGCGTGACTTTCAAAACGCATCTACGTGATTTTTAACATGTATAATTCACCATCATAAAAAAGAGAATAATATATGAGACGTAAATAAAATATATCTCAAAAATAGATTTTTTCAACGTTAAGTTATGTTTCAGTCTACACTTTTTAAAAGTTGCACTTTCAAAAGTTAAAATAAGATAATTGAAACGTAACTTTGCGACTTGAAACTTTTTTTTTTACAGCTAAAAAAACGGTTATTATTAGCAATTTTAAAAAATATATTTTTAGTTACAAACGCATTATTAAATCCAGTAACTAACTGATGAGTTACGGTATTTAACAGAATTGTTTTATTTACAATATTATTTATATATTTGATTATTTATCTATTTGATTATTGATAGCGCAATAACACGTTTGTAAAACTATTGTAAAAAAGTTAAAAAAAAATTAACGCACGCTTGTGGGTTTGTTTTTAATAAACACTTCCAAAGGTAAATACAACTTTTAAAGTTTTTAAAGTTATATTTACCTTAAAAAAAAGTACATTTAAAAAGGTAAAATAACTTACGGTATTAAGGCAACCTAAGGTGCTTATTACCTTTAAAAGTATAACCAACCATAGCGTAACATAAAATATTTAAGAAATGAAAATTAATTATAATATGATACAAAGATAGTTTTTTTCACGTTACTTAACGTTTTTTTTTTATTAAGGGTAACTAATTGAGACGTAACATAACGTTAAAAATCTATGTTTGAAACGTATTTTAGTTACGCCTCAAATCCCCTATAACATTTTAAAGTTACGTTACGTCTCAATCGGTTACAATTGGTAACAAGGTTACATTCTCTACTTTTTATTCAACTATTAAGTAAATAAACTTGAAAATGCAGTAAATGTTTGTTCATCATTGCCGTATTGCTAAATACTTTTATTTTATTTTATTTTTATTGTAAAATAGCTTCGTCTCAATTCGTTACTTTGTTTTTAAAAAAAGACTGCATTAATTCAATGCATTTACAACTGTTAATAAAAAGAACTTGTTAAATAACGTAAATCATTAATGAAATATGGTATTCAACAATGCGTTCGTCAAAACATTAGTAACTAAAAAAAATTACCAACTCCATTTTTTTAAAGATGTAGATATTATTTTTATATTTTATAGATTCTCTGCAGCTAAGATCGCAAAAACGCATTAACGCCCATAAGGTGGCAGAGGCGCTCGGGGATCAATTAAAACGAATGCCAATGCATGCAAAACGCGCAGCAGTCAAGGCAGAAGCCAGACTAATAGGCAACCTAGTCGGGCACCGAAGAAGGCTAATATTGCACCTGAATCTATTGGGAATGATAATTCTGACAATAACGCTTTTGATAATATTTGCAACGACGATATTTCGTTTACCAAAGACAGTGATTAGATGAAAAATGTACACAGATTATATTACTATGTTATTAATTTTTTTCCTTATAATAAACTTCTGAATTAAAGGCATTTTTCTGAACGTCATCAATAAACTTTATATGAAATAAAAAATGTATATGAGGAGGGGGGGGGGGGAAGGGTTGTTAGGTGCGAACGACCCCTTTGTTTGCAAACTCTATTTCACACAAGTTTTATATGTAAAATCTAAAAACAATTATATTTGCTATTCTAAACTTTTTTTTTTTTTTAAATTTTCACGTTACGGTGAAATAGTATTAACGTTAACTTCAATTTTTTTTACAAATTTTTTTATTTAATCAGCTTAACACTACTTGTGTTTTTATTACCCCACAAGCAAAAATGTGTATATAATGTCAAGTTTGTCAGATATAATGTTTTCATTATTCTAACAATATGTTTGACGGTAAGATTACGGATAGTATTAAGTGATTTTAGAATTTTAAAATATGTTTTACTTTTAGTTTGATTGTTATTTATTTGCTAATTTTTTCATTTTACCAGTGTTTGTCCACTTCTCGCTATATATGAGGCTTACCCTTCCAGCCAAACTCTTTAGGCTGTGAGAGTAAGTCTTGTCAAGAATGTTAACAATAAATAAACTAATCTCATATGAATACGGGAACAATGTTACGTTACAATGTTACGTATCGTTACGTAAAATGTTACGTCTCAGTTACGTAAAAATAACGGACATTTTGCACGTAACGTTACGTTACAATGTTACGTATTGTTACGTAAAATTTTACGTCTCGGTTACGTAAAAATAACGGACATTTTGCATGTAACGTAACGAATCTCGTTTACGTTACAATACGTAACGTAACCTAAAAATGTTATAGGGGAATCTAGATTGAGTTAAGTTATGTTACGTCTCAATTGGTTACACTTTGAAAAGCTATAAAAAAAACGTTAATTGCGTTATTGATACTTTATTTTTTTTCGTGACAAAGTAACAAATTGAGACGAAGCTATTGTACAATAAAATTAAAATAAAAGATAGTATTTAGCAATACAGCAATAATAAACAAGTTTATTTACTTAATATTTAATTAAAAAATTGAGAATGTAACCTTGTTACCAATTGTAACCGATTGAGGCATAACGTAACTTTAAAATGTTATACTATAACATTTTTGTGCTATAGCATTAATGTGTTTAATGCTATAGTATCAATTTCATATAACTTATAGGGAATGTGTATTTAAAATCAATATCATATAACTTATAGAGAATGTGTATTTTTTTTTAGCTTTTAGCAAAGAATGTGTTTCTTAACGTTGTTATTTTTCATTGAATTTCTAAAGGCATGTTTTTTTATTTAAATTCTAAAAGCATGTTTTTTATTATTAAGAAACTTTGTCTGTATTTTTGCTAATGAATAAGATTGTCCGTTTAGCTTTTACATGTTTTGTTTTCATTGATTTTACATGTGTTGTTGAAAAACAAACTTTACTAATAATTTACAATATTTAATTGAACAACATTAAAAATGTTGAAATTTTGTTCTTATATTATTATATTTATTTTGATAAACAAACAGATTAGCATGAGTTAAGTAAAAAATAATTTAATAATAAAGACGATTTGGAAAGAAAAAAGTAAATGTTAATATACTTTAAATTTAGTACTTAAAATTTGGGTTTTCTATTTAAAATTTTATCAAAGCATATTTTGAGAGAAAGATAATAATTGATGGTTTGTATTATTATTTATAATAAATATTAATAATTGATATTAAACATTTATTGTTTTATCATTTTAAAGCCTATTAAAAATTACACTTTAGGTACAATATGAACAATATACTGGAGACATGTTTGGTAACCTTTTAAAGTTTTATTTTGTTTTTAACCAATTAAATAAATAAAATAGCATCTATTATTGAATATTTTAAATTTAATAAATATTTCTTACATACGTTTAGTTAAATAAATTATTGAGTGTAAAAAGTTTTAAATAATTTCAATATATATGCAATATATATACATATATATATATATATATATATATATATATATATATATATATATATATATATTATATATATATATATATATATATATATATATATATATATATATATATATATATATATATATGTATATATATATATATATATATATATATATATATATATATATATATATATATATATATATATATATATATATATATATATATACACACACACACACACACACACATATATATATATATATATATATATCAAGTCTAGAAGCAAGTGTAGTTGCACGCCTTGTAAAGTAATTTTTTTAAATGACTTGACCACCTTTTATATATATATATATATATATATATATATATATATATATATATATATATATATATATATATATATATGTGTGTGTATATTTATATACATATATCAAGTCTAGAAGCAAGTGTAGTTTCACGCCTTGTACATCCTTGTTTAAAGTAAATTTTTTAGACGACTTGACCACCTTTTATATATATATATATATATATATATATATATATATATATATATATATATATATATATATATATATATATATATATATATATATATATATTTATATACACATATTAAGCCTAGAAGCAAGTGCAGTTGCACCCCTTGTACATCGTTGTTTAAAGTAATTTTTTTAGACAACTTGACCACCTTTTTTTATAGTAGGCGTTTTAAGAATTTGCAGCAAAATAAAGCTATAAGAACCTAGAGAATAAGTCAGTAATACTTGATTTATTCTCTAGGTTAGAGAATACTGTCATAAAATATTTTATGACAGTAACTTAAGTACTATTAATATTTTTTCAATCAAAATCTTGATCTATAAGTATCAGGTTTGAGTAAAGAACGCATATCGCTTGATACAAACTTTAGAGCAGAAACTAGCCTCTCTACACTTCTTGTATTATTTTTGGGTATTCTCTAATTCTCTCAAAAGCTGAATTCGCTTTTAAATGTCCCATTTCTTCCATTATCTTACAGTCGTCCAAAAAATTTGTATTACAAGTATTTATATTCAAAAAAATTAAAAAAAGCGTGGCCAAAATTAATATTGGCCACACTTCTCCTTTTTTCTTTTTTATCAAGCTCCTTTTCAATCTCTTTCTCTTCTCCATCGGAATTAGATTCATATAAAACTGGAAGAAGTACTGTAGGTAGCACAGCAGTATTTCTTATTTCTTGACTTTTATTGTATATTTGGCATCTCTTTTATAAATTTTTTATGCTATTGTTCTTAAGCCTTGTTTTGCTCTTAATAGTTGGTTTTTTTCCAATTAGAATTCTATATCTAGCATCAACATAAAATAAAGCTAGAAAAATATCATTATCAAAATTTTTTTTTACTGCATAGATTTTGAAATGTCTTATGCAAATAGTCCTTGGTTCTTCTCTAGGTCAGATTTCAATTTCAATTATTCCTTTAAAAACTCTCCTGGAGTAATGTCGATTAACTGTCACATCACGTGGCTTTTTTAAAAGATCGCAATGATCATTTGATTTATACCATATTTCAGGGCGTTAAAAGAATATCTGATCAACTGCAGTAAAAAGCTCACAATGGGCACAAAAGTAATAATCTTTCAATAATCCGGAATGTAGAACCCCAGCATGTCTCATCTAAAATTGAAACAACATTGTATTGCTTCCTTGTTGAAAATATTGTAAGTTTCTTAGCTTCTTTCCAACATAATGAACTTTTGCTAAAAGTTGGGCAAATGTTTTTTTTAAGTCATAGGAGTAACTAGCTGCAAAGTGTGAGTAACACAGCGCATTAGCTTAATGTCAATAGACAATTTTTGAAACCATTCTGAGTTGATAAAAGCTAGATTTTCTTCTTGAGCTCCTTCACTTTCTTCTTCATTTGTATCCTGTTGTAAAAATTCCACTTGCTCTTAATCATACAAAGCTTTCTAATCATACCTTCACTTTCTTTTTATTTGTATCCTGTTGTAAAGTTTCCATCTCAAAAATTTTCATCACTTGAGTATTTGTTTGAAATGCCTTCACTCCTTGACTTATGTCTTGTCTCTGACCCTAGCTTATGTTCAGTTTCTCCCTTTTCTCCCTTAGGTGGTTCTGACCATGCAATGATCTCTATAAATCTTTCTTCTCGTAATTATTTTTTGGGCTCACCTTATCATCGCACCACCTACTACTACCCTAAAGCTGACTGGGATTCTTTTCGTGATTTTCTTCGTGATGGTCCTTGGACTAATGTTTTTTCTCTCTCAGCTAATAAATGCGCCTCCTACGTAACCTCCTGGATTCAGGCTGGAATGGAAGCTTTTATTTCTCTCGTCGGTTTCAAGTCAAGCCTCATTCTACTCCATGGTTTTGTCCTTCTTGTGCGGCTGCTATATCCAATCGTAATCATTTTTTTCATCTTTTTTAAAAGAACAACTCTCTTGAGAACAAATGGCTATTTATTATTGCAAGAAATCGATGTAAAAAGGTGCTTTCTGATGCTAAACTCCATTATTCTCAGTTCACTAAATCTCGCATCTTATCACAGAAGTTAGGCTCTAAAGACTTTTGGAAAATCTTCAACAGCATTATTAACAAGGGTAGATCTAACATTCCATCTCTCATTCATGGGACTGATCTTATTACCTCTCCCAAGGATAAGGCAGAACTATTTGCAAAGAACTTTCTAATTCCACTCTTGAATTTTATGGACATTCTCTTCCTTCCATTCCAGTCAAACAGGTTGACCCATTGTTAGACATTCAAATCACTCCGGGTTCTGTTGCTAAAGTCATATCTCAATTAAACTTGTCTACAGCTTGTGGTCCAGGCAACATTCCTGTCACAGTCTTGCAGAATTGTTCTCCAGAACTTCCTATAATTCTCTCTAAACTATTTAACAAGTGTTTGACTGAGTCTTGTTTTCCTGCTTGTTGGAAAATGGCATCTGTGGTTCCAATATTCAAAAACTCTGGAGAAAATTCTGACCCCTCCAATATCGTTCGATCAGTCTTCTTTCTGTTATTAGCAAGGTCTTTGAGTCTTTAATCAACAAATTCCTCACATCTCATCTTGAGTCAAATAAACTACTGTCAGACAATCAATACGGTTTTCGATCCTCTCGCTCTACAGCCAACTTGCTAACTGCTGTAACTGAAAGATTTTATCGTGCATTAGATGGAGGCGGTGAGGCTATGGCTATTGCTCTCGACATATCTAAAGCTTTCGACAAAGTTTAGCATGCTGGTCTTCTTCATAAACTTGCTTTATATGGTGTTTCTGGGAAAGTTTTTGAGATTATCAAATCATTTCTTTTTAACCGGTTTAACAAAGTCACCCTTGAAGGCCAACACTTTTCTTTATTTCCAGTGACTTCTGGGGTTCCCCAAGGTTTCATCCTGGGCCCTGTTTTGTTTCTTATCTATATAAACAATCTTCCTGACAACCTTTCATCTAAAGTAGCTCTTTTTGCTGATGACTCAACTTTATACTCCTGTTTTGGCAAAAAGTCTTCTCTTTTCGATTGCCTAGAACAAGCAGCTGATCTTGAATCAGATCTCACTTCAGTAATAGATTGGGGTTCACAGTGGCTTGTGAATTTCAACTCTAACAAAACCCAGTTGTTTACTGCAAACAACTACCGTAATATAATCAACATTCCTATATTAATAAATGGCAATCCTCCTTTTTACGTCTTCTTGGATTATCGCTAACTACTGACCTTTCATGGAAACCATATATACAATCGATTGCATGGAAACCATATATACAATCGTGCTCACCATTTTCTTACTTCTGATTCCATTCTATACCTCTACAAATCTCTTATTCGTCCCTGTATGAAATACTGTTGTCATATTTGGGCTGGTTCTTCTAACGATTCACTTTCTCTTCTTGACAAGGTCCAAAAACGCATTGTAAATGTTGTTGGACCTGGACTATCTGCTAAGCTTGAACCTCTTTCCCATCGTCGTAAAGTTGCATCTCTTTCTCTTTTCTACAAATACTATCATGGTCACTGCTCAAAGGAGTTATTATCTCTAGTTCCATCAACTAAAATTCATTCTCGTTTTACTCGTCATTCAGCTAAGTCTCATTCGTTTACTGTATCTGTCCCTGCATGCTCTAAAAACTTTTATTCATCTAGTTTTTTCCCCCGCACTTCAATCCTTTGGAACTCTCTCCCATCTTCATGTTTTCCTGACTCATACAACCTTCAACTTTTGTCTTCTGTCAACCCTTTCCTTGCTCTATAATTCTGTTCTTTTTTTTTCCTAGTAACTCCCAACTTAATAGTGGTTGCTTGCAGCCTTGTTGGGAGTGAATGCAAATTGAAAAAAAAATAAAAAAAAAATCATATTGGCTGCATTGTCTACACTTGCACATACTATTTAATCATTAGTGATACCAAATCTATATAGAGTATCTTTACCACCATTTTTATGATAGTAACAGGGTTGTGTATATATCAGTGCCAAAGTGTTTTAATTTTTTTTTTGCATAATAATGTTGAATTTTTATTTCCAAATAGTTATTTTGGTGTCGAGTGGCTGCATCTATTTTCAAATAAATAAATTTCTGTAACAATATTTTCTTTACTTCAGCTTTCTTTTTTTTTACGCAATTTTATTAATCAAATTGCATACAGAATTGTGTACGGTACAAAATCCAAGAGTTTTATGTAATTGGCCTGTAACCAACTGAGATCCTTAATCCACAAATGGTTTCAACAAAACTCTGTTATTCACTTTAATATTTTTACCTTTAAATTTTAATATTTTTAATTTTAAAAGTTTTAGCACAAACTTGATTTATTGTTTAACTACTAGTCATAACAAAAGAATCTAAAGTAATCTGTTTATTTTTTTTAGTATTAAAATCTTGTGAATTTGATAAAATGATTTTGAAGATTTTTTTTTGACCATAAGGCTCATTTCAGATTCAACAGTTTTATATTCTGATAGATTATTAACTTTTCTGTAATCTTACATGTAACCAGTTTTGTAGTTTTATCAATTGAAAAATACTTATCTAGAAACCTCTCAGGAAGGTTTTTATGTGAAGATATTTTTTATAAAAAACTATGAAAATAAAGTAAATGATAAATTTTAAAGATAAGAGAAATAATTAAAAAGATATAAACAAAAATAGTATCATATATATAAAAAAAACAAAAAAAGTTTAAAACCTTTTCCTAATTTTATTTGGAACTCACATGTTTAAATCTATTTTAAAAAACTTTCAACTAGTTAAAAACGTTAAAACAAATCATGAAACTTAACATATAGATAAAGTATTTTTTCGTTTAGGATCATCCATAAAGTATGTACATAAAGGATTGTACATAGAGTACGCTCGAATCGGGAGAGGGTCAATTATATTTAATTTCAAAAAAGTGTAAAGCAAAATGCAGGATTGAGATCAAAAAACACCTTATGTACTTAATGGATGACCCCAGAACCCCAGTTTAGAAGTATTGTAAAGTATTTGTAAAGTAACTTATGATACTCTGCAATAAGTACCACGATATATTACACAAAATAATTGGATAGAAATTAAATTCTGAAAAAAAAATTTTCTTCTTTTTTTTTTTAAACCTTATGAAAAAATGCATTATTAAGAAATTACAATTATTTTAATGAGCGTAATTATTTAAATTCTTTAAAAAAATCTTATTACATAAAATAATAATTTTATGGAAATTTGATATTTCAAAATATCAAAAGGGTGGCTCTGGAGCCAGCTCTGTCTGAAAATGTTTTAGCTCCAGCTCCGGCTCAGCTCCAAGTAGCTCCAGCTCCGGAACTGCTTCAAATCCCTGATATATAGCAAAAACTTTTTTAAAACTGAAAAAACATAAAAACAAATAAACATAATAAACGAATAAATGTAAAAAAAAAATAACAAAATTTTTTATAGCTCTAGCTTACATAGCAAATTAGTTTCTTGACTGATAAAAATTGTGAATAAATTGCATATCAAAACTTTTATTTGATATTAAATTGTTATAAAAGATATTTTTTTCAGCAACGACTCTAAAAAAAAAGAATAAAAAAGTTGTATAAGAATTTTATTAAAAAAAAATTTTTTAAAATAATAAATCATCTAGTTTTTTTATTTAAACTTTTTTTTAATTAAACATTGGTAAGTTGGTCTAAAAAAGTTACTTTAAACGTGGACGAACAAGGCGTGCGAATGATGCGCTTCTAGGGAAGGCTTGATATATATATATTATATATATATATATACATCATTATATATATATACATCTATAATTTAAAACACGGATATTTAAAGCGTAAATTTCACAATTTAAATTTTGATAACATTGTCATAGTTTTAAAAACTTTTTACTTGTTCAAGTTTTTCTTATCAATTTTGATATTTTACCCTTATAATTTATTTTTTAAATAATTTCTTTTAAAGAATGAATTAAAGATAATGACAACAACAGATGCATACAAAGAAACGATACATATGCTTTATTTGTACATTGACAACATATTCAAGAACAAGGACTGTGAAAAGTATAGAAAAATCAGAATAGGTGAGCGTCCATCAATTAGAATCAAATACATAATATTTAAGGTTTATTTTTTAATAAAAATGAAGTTTATTCCAAAGTTTTATACAAGAAAAATGAAATACATCTATTTTTAATTAATTTTTTTTTTATATAGGTTTATTTATTTATATATATTTATTTGTATATTTCTTTTGTTTAAGTGTATAAAATACAATGTTGTTTTATAAAGTTACATTTTAACGACTCCTATTAAATCTATATATCATAAATATGTATAATAAATACAAATCATAATTTTAAAGGTTTAAAAAATGTTATTACTATTTCTAAACTATATAATTTAAAAGACTAACTTATGTATGGTTGTTATAAATATTTGCTTATATAGCAGAGGCATATTCAAAATAAATATTATTATTATAAAGTTAAATAAAATAATATATATATACATATATATATATATATATATATATATATATATATATATATATATATATATATATATATATATATATATATATATATATATATATATATATTTAAACAATTTAAAATGTATTCTACAAAAAGAGTGCTCAATGTTCTTAAAAGAACAGAGCAATTACAAATTAGTAGAAAATCACTTAGCAAAATTTTTTCTCATTTAACACTGTGTTTCATCATTTTCTGATGAAACTTTATTGATGAAACACAGTGTTAAATGAGAAAAAATTTTGCTAAGTGATTTTCTACTAATTTATATATATATATATATATATATATATATATATATATATATATATATATATATATATATATATATATATATATATATATATATATATATATATATATATATACATATATATATATATGTATATATATATATATATATATATATATATATATATATATATATATATTGCATTTAAAATCATACAAATGTTTGTTTTTGTTTTATTACCGAGCATTTATTATTCAAATTATCCATAAATTGGCAAAATTTATGAATTTTGTTGTGATATTAAGAAAGCATTTGAAGTATGCAAATACATTTTTTGTAATGTAATAAAAATATTTTTTATTTAAAAATACTGTACATTGCTTGCTATTTTAATTAGTTACGTATTTAAAAGTAAGTTTCCTTGACATTCTTTCATCCCCCTTCACCTGTCATTTCCCAAAATAAAATAAATAGCAAACCATTACACTTCATGTTATTTTACTAAAGTTTCATACAAATTTATTTTGAAAAAATAATTAATATGAAGCCACTACATTGATTTAAATTTGAAATTTACATTTTTCATTTTCGAATTTTAAAATTCAAAATAAAAAATTAAGTACCTGAACAAGATTGAAAAGAGTTATCAGAAACACAAGATTTTGCGCAGTAGTTTTTCATACTATCAATAAAGCTACGCCAACAATCTCAAGTATGCATAGAAATAAAAATAATATAGAGTTATCGATTTGGTTTTATGATATTTTGTATATACCTGAAAATGTGTTTTAGTGATCAGAAGTCATAGTCACTAAAACACATTTTCATCTCAATATCAAGACCAATCCATCAAACTATTATACACTGTAAAAGAAATAATGCGCGCTTATTTATACTATTGATATAGTATTGGTGATACTATTTATAAAAACCTATATGGTTTAGGAACGCAACTTCCAACGGGTATGGATATCTTGCAACACTTTAAATATTGTCAATCAATTTTAACAAATGGAATTGCAAAACAGTTGGATATTCTATATTGTCCTCCAAAGTCAAACTTAAAGGTTGATAGGTATCAACTAGTTGAATGTCAACGTATCATGGCGAAAGTTAAACATCCATGGATTAAAGCAGGGTTTCCAGTTATTAGCAATGTAAATATTCGAAAAAGTTTAAAAAATCTTGAGCAAAAATATTTTAATTTATTAAAGAATGTCAAAAGTAGGGATGTACCGAAGCTTCGGCTTCGGCTTCGGCGTGCCGAAGCTTCGGCAATTTTGCCGAAGCTTCGGTTCGGCCGAAGCCAGGTCAATTTTTTGCCGAATCTTTGGCTTCGGCAAAAAATTTTAAGTAATTAAAGTTATAAGCTACTGTGGGACAAGTTATAAAAATAAGCTAATTGCCAGTGTCTAATAAAGTTATAAATTTAGGACTACAGAGTTAAAGTTGGAGTCTATACCATATACTTAGTATTATTTACTCCCAAGTGTCTTGTTATGGAGGGGATAATAATAAATAAGTAAAAAGATTTTGAAAAAAATAATAAAAATGGGGAAGGTCCTCATACACTTTGAAAGCTTCCAAGTGTGACTTTAGATGAACTGAAGCAGCATTTCTATGCATAATAAAAACCTTATAATTTAAAACAAATTAAAAGTTTTTAAAACCTTAATTTGTATTATGTAACGAATTCATATTAATTATTGTGTGGGATTACCGCAAATAGAACAAAATTTGGTTTCAACATTTGACCGATAAACCTTAGTAATCTCTCTTTAAAGAAGGTTAAAGATACGTTGCTACTATTTTAAATTTTGTGTATGTTTAATTTTTTAAAATTTTATTTAACCATATTAATAAAAATTAACAAATTTTCATCGTAAATTTACAGAAATTGGTTAGGTGTCACTTATATAGATACAAAATAGTCAATGGAGTGACACATAAAAAACAAAAAGTTCTCAACAACAAAAAAGGAAGAAAAGCAAATGAAATATAAACGAGGATAATAAAAAAAGAAAAAAAAAAGCCAACAAAAACTAGATAAATTAAAAGAAAAACAATGATAATAACTATCCTTGCTCTTTTATTAATACTATGAATACTTCTAAATTGAATTTATATATTAAACATGTAAACCAATATTCTGGTTTCTTCTTATGATATTATGAAGACTTTTAAATTTTATTTAAATTAAATTAAAGGTTGAAGCTTTGATTACTTTGAGCTCTTATATTTATCATCAAAATTTATTTAAATTAAATAAACAATTTAAATCAAATAAATATCAGCCTGCTCAGTCCCTGTTTATTTATAAATATAAAGTAAATAATAATATAATTATAAATAAAAAAATTTATAAAGTATTCTATTTATTATTTTATTTAAAGCTCACTCTACAGAGTTGTTAGATTACTTTGGAAGTTTTTATCACAGATAGTTAATATTTGATTTCAGATACTGATGCAGATTTATCCATTATAGAGACAGAAGAAGAATGAATACTAAGATTTCAAAGTATAAAAGATTAAAAAAAGCTATAGAAAATGTTATGTAGTGTTAAGTTAAAAATAATCAAAAAAAAAAATACTTAAAAGTGTGAAAAAAGAAGTTAGAGACAAATCTATCATTTGTACTTTTTTTTAGCAGCAGGTTCAGGAATCCAAAATGGTCTTAACTTGGGTTTTTTTTAGTTTAGAAATTGTTCGTTAAAAGAATACAGAGAAGTAAAAAAAAAAGATATTGAAATAAATAGCAATAAAAAGATAAAGTGTGTTTCTTATTTTTTATGTTGTAGATACAACTAGATCAGCTAAGACTGTTTATTTAAAGAAAGAGTGATCAAGTGCAAAAGATAAATTTACTCTAGTAATGTTCAGAGATTTTTATCCACTTCTATTAACAAAAGGTGCATTAAAAATAAAAATAAAATATACAGGACATGAAAAAATGCTATATAACATTAATATGGTTTGCACACAAAAAAAATAGAACTAGAAGTAGGAAAATTTGGGGAGAATGTTTCAAAAAAGCTTAAGTTTAAAAAAAAAACGCTCGATGCGGTCAAGTATCAGAAACGACATAATGAGAAACTTTAAAACAGGGGCGCTGAGAGCTTTTGCCCTGCCTGGAACAGCAATTCTGACTGGCGTCCTCATTTTTATACAATTTTTCTATATTAATAGTCAAGGACCTTAGTTTTGGTACCTTTTTTGTTTTACACCCCTGCTGATCTGAATGCTGATTAAATTTTAAGCATATATAGTGCCGAAGCTTCGGCTTCGGCCGCAGCTTCGGCTTCGGCAAAGTGGCTTCGGCCGAAGCTTCGGCTTCGGCAAAATTTCAGCTTCGGTACATCCCTAGTCAAAAGAAACTCAAAACAAGATACAAAACAAATCAAATAGGATTTGAAAGTTTTGTTAAATGTATTTTTTGGATAAGATTTCCAGAACTAAAAGATTTTATTCAAAGTGACAAGCTAAGATCCAATGAATCTAAAATAGATTTACAATTCTTAGGAGATCAAGCAGGTCCAAGATTATATCATTTAGGTCCTCTAGACACTAAATGTACTAAGAAAGTAATTTGATTATGTTTTGGTTGTGAGAATTTGCATAGTATTTGTTTTGCTTTTTTAAATGTTTAGACAGTTATGCGTCAGATCTTAATTAAATGATGCTCTCAAGCTAAATGAACTATTGAGTTACTTTACTATATGGAGTGAAGCATTAGTATATAAAATATTGATTTAACTAACTTTATTTTGTTTTTGGACTTACACTATGTTGATTTTCATCCACACATTTAGTTTTTAAATAATATATTCTTTATAGTTTGATAAATTTATTAAATATGCTCTAACTTTTTGTGTTTGTCACTCTAACAACTTATAACTAATAAATTTATTTTTATATAAGGTAAAATTATTAAATATTAAGAAATGCAAAAATGCAATGAAAAATGGATCACAGAGTGAAATTTAAAAATCTTACAAAGAAGACTTTAGCAGTAATGATGAACTAAGTTCAGATAAGTTTTCTGAATATGACTTCGAGCCAGGCAAATGGATAAAAAATAAATAAACCAAGCAGTACAAAAATTCGGGCCAACATTCCTGAAGATATTTATTTCAGAAATGTTGCTTTAATGACAACTGTTAATAAGATCTCTCCTATGGCTCTGTAGAGAATTACAATAGCGGTTGTTCAAGCTGCAGGAGTAGACATGAATGCCATCAAATCAAGTCTCTCAAATGCAGCTAGAAGAAAAGAAAAAATAAAGAAATTTTAAATATTGTTAAAGAAGATATTAAAACAAAAGTACGTTTATCTACATTTCATGTATAATTCATTTTGATGGAAAAACTATATTTGAGACAATTAAAGGAAAGAAACTAAAATGCGAGCGACTAATTGTCCTAGTAAATATTAATGCGAACCACACTTGTTGGGTGTGCCTTCTTATCATCCTCTTCATGAGACGATCAGTACAAAGGCATAATGCAGTTGCTAGATGAATATTGTATTAAATCAAATGTTGGTGGATTGTGCTTTGACAAAACAGCAACAAATACTGGCATTACGTCAGGGACTGTTTATAGTTATATAATATATATATATTATGTATATATGTTATATAATATATATAATATATATATATGTTATATAATATAATATATATATACTGTTATATAATATATATATATATTACCTATAATTTAGGTAAATGCATTCTTCAGTTTTCTTCCAGGCACCATGTTACAGAGCTTAGAATAAGTCATTTTCAAAAAGATGTTACTCATGCAAAAAAAGGTAGGACCAGAAAATCTTTTTTTTAAAAGATTAAGCTATAAGTTTGACAATCTAGAGTTTCATTACAATCCTGAAAACATATTAAAGTTTGATTGGTCATTATTAACTGGTACTGTAGTCAAAAAGCAGAAACAGATGCACTCAAATATTGCAAAAAATACATTAAAAAGAAAAATATTGCTAGGGAAGACAAAAAAGAACTAGCAGAGCTTGTAATTATTTATTTATTGAAATTAGGAATTGTTAAAATAAAAAAACCAGGTTCAGTTCATTATGCAAGATTTCTTAGCTCAGCTCTTTATTATACAAAGTTATATCTGCCATCTAAACAACTAGATTTTTTTATAAAAGAGGAAGACATAAAAGCTCAAGTAGAACGGATTGTGGAGTTTATTTGTTGTTTTTATGCTCCATGGTACTTGGGAAGCCACAATCCTGTTAAAGCCCCATAGCTTGATATTACAGCTCTATATCAAATGACTCTGTATTAAAAAGTTTGCCAAGTAAAAGAAGCTGTAGATAAAGTTGTTGACTCAATATTAAAACACTCTTTGTACATAGACTCAACTTTAATACCTTTTTCACTTCTAGATTATAAAAATCCTGATAAAGATAAAACACTAACTGCCAAATCAATTTTATCTTGCAAAATGCCATCTTTATTGGCATCTGATTACATCATAGAAAATAAGTAGATTGATTTTGGTGTAAAAACTTGTATGAATTTTTATTTAGTAAAAAATGAGAAGGGACCCAGGGTAGATTATGGTAAGGGAAGAGGTAAGGCAAATATATTACTAATTGAAGTAACAAGCAATTCACAAATTATCAACCAAAAAATATTTTTATTACACATGGCCGTCGACACAGGGAAGGTGGGGCTGGGAAGGGTATGTATCACCTCCCCCCTTTTTTTTTTTTTTTTTCAAGGACCTTTTTTTTATATATATAAAATTAAAAAATGGGCTCTCTTAACTTTGATGGCTGGTTTAATGGTCCTGTATTAGAAAAAATCCATTTGCATACTCCAAATGATTACTTAGTGTCACAACAAACTCACCAATTTTGTGAATTTATGGATAATTTGAATAAAAAATGCTCTGTAATAAAACCAAAACAAAAACACATATAATTTTATATGCAAAACATATGTAGTGTAGGCTTTTTTTTTTTTACTTCAGCCAACTTGGTTTATATGGGACCTATAGAAAAAATACATTTGCATACTCCAAATGCTTTCATATATATACAAGGTGTTTACCAGGAAAAAATTTCATACTGCATTTTGGCGAAAATGGGAATTTAGTTGTGGCTGAAAAAAAAAAAAAATGGTCATTACATTTTGACATTTAAAAAATACAGATGAATTTTTTATTTTCTGAAGAAATATATTTAAATATATAAGTATTTAAATGCTTTAGTATTTTAAAACTGAAAATTTTAAAATAATAAAAAAAGTTTTTTAAACTTTTTTACAATATTTGTATTATTGTTCATCATATGTTGTATTATAATTTTTATCATAAGATAAGTTTAATAGTTAAAAAACTTATTTAAATTGATAGTTTTTAAATAAAAATTAAATGAAAGTTTTTGAAATCTTTATATTTTTAATGGTTGGCTTGCCAATTTCAGTCAAATATAATGTTTGTTAAAAGATTTTTTGTTGCAATATTGATGGCTTAATCCGTAAACCAGCCAACTCCATTTGTATGAAATGAACAGGAACAACAAAAAAGTGAATAATTTCATTAATAAATGCAAAATAAAAATTTCAAAACACACTTTCGTAGATTATTAATTAATTAATAATATGCTACTTTTATTTAAATAAGTAACAAAGACTTTTAAGGAGCAGAGCGAGATTCTTTGAGGGCAGCAACTAAATTTAATTGGCATATTTAAATATCTAGTAAATTAGGTATTTAAATAAAAAATATATTTAATTACAAAATTATTATTTTATTTTTTTTAAATTTAAAAATGTACATTAAATATCGACATAAATTTTGTATTTGTAAATTTGAAGAAAAAAAAATGTTTTATGTAAATATAAAATAGATAATGTGTTTCATTACAAGTTTTATTTTTGATTGTTTTTTTTGTTGTTGTTATTTTCAGTTTACTTTACCAGCTAATTTATTTTACCAAAAGAATTAATTAATCTTTTATTATAAAAGCCTTGTTAATTTATTTTAAAGTATAATATTTAGTAATATGCAAGTTTTTTTGTAACTTTATTAACTTGAGATAAACAACAAAAATATACATAAAGAGTCTTTGAATAATAAAAGTAAATTTAAAAAATTTTTAAACATATTAAAAAATCTTAACTAGAGAATAACTGACATCAATAACAATTTAAAAAAAAGTTTTTTTCAACTTTTGAATGAGTGATCTTGTTAATATTAATGACGCTTGTTAATGACGACACGTTTTTACTCATTAAAAAAAAAATCGATCAATTTAATTCATTTTCTCGTCGTGCATACTAATTGCAATTTTACTTTTCTAGTGCGACACTTTAAATCTAAGACCGACATTTATTTATATTATATATATTCTTTGTTTATTTTTATTTTTTTTCAAATCTTTTTGATCTTATGAACCTTTAGGAATTTTAAACCAATTGGGAATACTGTGTTATACGCAGTGCCATCAGGCTGGCTAATACCTTGATATATATATATATATATATATATATATATATATATATATATATATATATTATATATATATTATTAACCATGGGCATTCAACATGAAAAAAATTTGTACTTATTTTGAAATCTTTTTTTAGGCAATGAAAAGTTTCATCAAAAAGTGTGGCGTTTTGAACCCTGCAGGTTGTTGTTGGAATTATGTGGGTTTGAACAGGTTTGCTTGTTTTAGCATTTTATTTGATATATATGCTTTAATTATAAAGTTAACATAATATATGTATAATAAATAGTTTGAAGCTAAAAGTATAATCACTTTTGTGTAAGAAATAAAATCAGGCTTTTGGGTTTATTTATGAAAATGAGGTTAGTTTTATACTTGAGATGTCAAGTATTATCATCGTTTGATTCATTTCTTCAGTTATTAAATCTGAATGATTTAATAACTGAAGATTGTAGACACATACACTTAGTAGAAGATTATAGACACATAGTAAACAAAAAATTTAATTGTTATAAACCATAGTTATCACTCAGTTGTTTAAATTTTTCTGTATTTGTGGTCTATAAAAATAATTTTTATTTTGTAGAATCTTAACTTTGTTAAAGATCGATAGTCCAACTTGAAATCTTTAAATTCAGTTGCTTCCTTTTTTGAGTTTTATTTCTGTATCTATGAACTTTGTAATTTTATATCTATGGAAACAAAATGGCTAAATCTTTGTTTTTATTTTGGCTTATCATATACTAATGACCTTTTCTGGTAATCATAAATCAAATCCTTTTTGAAATTAGCATTTAATTTGTAACTAAATTACTCTTGATTCAGTTCTCAATAGCTATAGTTTTCTTATTCATTTTGTATGAAATGTTAATGTCATTTCTGGGTTTTCTATTGATGACCTTTACATTTAATAAAGGTTAAGAAGCAAACAAAGCATTTTTAACTTTTCTTAATGCTAATTATTTAATAAGTTTCCGAAAAAAAAAAAAAATTTATATTTTTGAAAATTTAATTTTTTATTAGCTGTAATTTTCATTTGTGTTAAACATACTTAATATTAATAAATAAAGTTTTAAAAATAGTTTTTTTTTATGTTATGTTGTTATGATTATTTTTATATAATCATATTATATAATCATATAATAATAATCATATTATTATTCCATTTCAGGGCAATGAATTTCTTACTTTATCTGTAAATGGAGATATCAGCAAAGTGCACAGTATTTTATTGAAAGAAGCAATGGAATTAAACATACTTGAACCAAAAGTCCATCCACCTTTAAGTGATAAGACTCTAACAATTAGAACCAAAGGTAAATAAAAAAGGCAACTTTACTTGATTAGAATTACAATTTTCTGTTTTATAAGAAATAAGAATTTGTAGAGACCTAAAATAAAGCTTTTGAATTTTTAAGACATTAGTTATTCATTAGGGTTTCTAGATCATCAACTTAAAAAAAAGATACACCTGGTGTATAACTTTGCATTTAGAAGTGCTGGCTTTAGGAATTAATGATTTATTTCTTGAAAAGAAGAATATTTTGAATCAACTTAGTGATGAAGATTTTTTAGAGTTGACTCATGATATCTCAAACTCTCAGGGGATTGGAAAAAAAATTCAAGAGTTCAAAATATCAAAAGGATTTTGGCTCAAACAACTGCGCTAGAAACCGGAAAAAAAGTTCGAGATATCGAGAGTCAATTGTACTAACAATCATTTCCAAAACCCAAGTATTTTAAAATACTTAGAATTTTTACATTAATTAATAATAGAGCAGAGCCAAACATAACACTAATGCAAATTTTAACGATTAATTTAAATTCAGAATGTATTTTAATCATTATATGTAAAATTAATAACAATTAAGACAATCATTTATAGAGTTTTATTTTTGAATATTTAACTATTTAACTATTTATTTGAATATTTAACTATTTAACTATTTATTTGAATATTTAACTATTTATTTGAATATTTAACTATTTAAGCTAATATAATATATTAAATTAATCACATTTTAAAAACAAAAACAGTGGATGTTGATTGTCTTTTTAATAAAAATGATAACATTATTTTCTGGATTTTGGAAAATATCAGTTTTTGACTAAAAAGGAACAAATATAATTTTATTTTTAACACATTCCAACTTGTACATTTACACATTAATATAATCTGAAGAAAGACCTAATGTCTTTTAAAATTCAACCTAAAACCCTTAGAATTAAAAGTGGATGTCATATTGAGATAGGGAGCTGTGCCTCAGTACAGACATCCACTGATTTAGTACAGTACTGCTTCATTACAGACATCCACTTTAAAAAATTCATTACGTTTTTAAAAAATTCATTACGTTTTTAAAAACATTCAGTACATTTTTTAAAACATTTAGCACATTTTTAAAAACATTCTAGTCTTTTAATTTGCTTTTTTGTGGTTTTTTAAAAACAATAGATTTAATTAGTTTCCTCAATCAAATTAATACATTTTGACATAATCATTATTTAATTTTGTCTTGCTGGATGTCATTGAGTAGTTAAGTGTCGTTTTTTACCACAAATGGTAAGTTAAAGGCCTTTACTATAGTAATTTAATTAATTATCTAATAATTGATAACTTTTCAGAAGATTGATTTTATAAAAACTTTTTAGAAAAGTAAATTCCAATGTAATAAACAATTATTTTTGAGGCTAATGTCAGATAAGGTTTGCATTTTATTACATAAAATACTAATATACTAGCGTTCAATGTTTTTCAATTTTCATGGTCACTCTCCTTGTTTTAGCAATGCTTTAAGAGAGTGAACCATCCAGTGTAAATATTACTCTTTTTTATGTGGCTCATGTATTGCAATAAATAAAGTATTATATTGAATGCCCAATTATCAAAAAATGAAACAAAAAAATATAAAAAGTGCTCGTAGAATTAGAAGCATTTGCTCTCTGATTTTTTGGTTATAGCTTTTTTGTTCATGCCCTTTTCTCATATGTGAGCAATCACTCAACACTTTTAGCAACTGCTCATAAGTAAAAGCTTTTCATGTAAAGTTGAGCAACTACTCTAAAAAACTGAGTAAAACCAATTACCTGGCCTAATTTGTAAAAACATAAATAATTTAAATAAAAAGTTGTTTGTTGATCATTTGAATAATATAGAAAAATTATTTTTAAATTTAATTTAATTTGAATTTTTTTCCAGAAATCCCTTTTAAGATAAAAAGCTTAAGGCCCATGCAAGATTCCTGCATAGCCTCTCAGGGCCATGTCTCCTTTAGGGGCCAGCATCTAGGTTGACAAACTTATCAATCAAAATGAAATTGCTAAAAAAATTGACTTTCATAACAAAAAGTTTTTGATAATAAAAGAATTAATCAATAAAAAGGCTAGACATTATTATTATGTATAAATATAAAAAATTTTTTTTTTTTATAGATAGTGGTATCTTTGAAGGTGAAATAAATAAAATAAAGCCTGATTTGACTCTACTTTCTTACCTGGTTGAAATGGGTAATTTAAATTTTTTGATTACTCAATTTTCTTGTTTAATTAACTGGATAAAAAATACTCTGTATTTTTTTTGTTTACTAATTCTTTTTTTATTCAAACAACTAGTTATTTTCGTATATTTTGTATTATAATAAATGCCTGCACTTTAAAAAGTAAAGTTTAAAATTTATTAATGTGCAATGTGAATAAAATAGATAGTAGTAAATATAAATTTACCTTGCAAATTGGAATATATTGACTGCATGCAATTAGTCTTTTTTTTTTTAATATATACACTCTAAAAAAAATCTGTTATATACAACAAACTGCATCTGTCACTATTGCACCAACGGGTTTTCCGTTATGTTAACCGATTAAAATTTTAACTGATTGAAGCTTGTCGATATTAGTCTGTTGAAATTATGTATTTATTCCGTTTGCGCAACAAACAATTTGTTAAAATAAAGGAATCATTATGCTAGGCGGCTTTTACTGTTTTGGTAAAATAAAGAATTTACAATGTCATTGTATTGAATAATTTGATATTCCCTTTGTTAAAATTAGAAAGGAATAAAGCCAGATAGAACTGAGATTTTATTACAAAATGGTCCTTATTTTTAGTATATAAATTATTTTATTATGATATTCAACATTTGATACAAGCAGTACTGCTTATACAAACTAACTTGATTGGGAGAGATTTTTTAGCAATTTTTAAAAATGTTTTAACTTTTAAATTGACAACTAGTTAAATATTTATAATAATTTAATTCAATATAGAAGTTTTCAATTACAATAAAAATTAAAAAACTTCAATAAAAATATAAAATGTTTCTTAATATATATTTTGTTAATAAGTTATTATATTCAAGGTCACAAAACATAAAAAAAAAAACCAGACAATTGTATACAATTGTTACTATACTAGGTTTCAATTTTGAATACTGTTGTAAATTCATGTGTGTGTACATATCAATTCCAGCAACCTGTTGTCGATTATTTAAAGATAAACAAACCATAAAACATAATAAAGGAAACATTGAATATAAATGATATACCATAACACAAAATGGAAATAAATTTTTACTAATAACCATGTAAGTAATATTTGTTGCTAGTTTTTTATTTCAAAAGCATATGCAAACTTAAATATACAAATTATAAGAATCCATGTATAAAATTTGCTGTAACTAGCCTAAATATATACCCATTTAAAAAAATGCAAGTAAATATTTTACAACTGATGAAACTTACAGCGTGATATCGCATGCCACTTGCCTAAAATAATCAATTATAAAAGCATATAAACAAATTATATGTAAACTTAGCTGCAACTAGTCTAAATAAATATACACATTAAAATAAATGCAAGTAAACATTTAAACTTGATACCTCATCCTTGAATGCCACATGTCTAAAGTATCAAATTCTATACAAATATAAACAAGCAATATATAAACTTATTTGTAGCTAACATAAAAAAATTGCAAGTAAAAAAAAAAAATAGTTTTACAACTAATTCAAACTTACAGTGTGGTATAGCATGACACGTGTCTAAAATAGAAAATCATAAAAGCATATACAAACTTAAATATACAAATTTAAACAATCCATATATAAACTTTGCTGTAACTAGCCTAAATAAACACCCATAAAAAAATGCAAGTAAACATTTTACAACTGATTTATTTTACAACTGATGAAACTTACAGTGTGATATTACTTACGGCGTGTCTAAAATTGCAAGTTATAAAAGCATATAAACTAGCTCTACATAAACATAGCGGCAACTAATTTAAATAATGATACCCATCGAAAGAAATGTTAAGATTTTTAATTTTACAACTGATTTAAAATTAAATTGTAAGTTACTACATGTTTAAAATAGAAAATTATACAAGAATATATACAAGTAATTATAGTCTTAATTACAGAGACAATGGTTCAACTAACCTTTTAGTTTATCATATAAAAAAATTTAAAAATAAATTCAATGCTTTATACATAAAATTTAAAGAAAATTTAAGAACCTTCGAAATAACAAACAACAGAGTATAATTTAAACTGCGTTTATTCTTTTGCTTTCACTACTAAAATTTGATAAAAAAAGCAAATAGGTAAACACGATTTAAATAACGCTTTTTTTAAATAGCTTCACATTTAGTCGAAATGTGAAGCTATTTAAAAAATGACAAATTAAATTTAATGCAACAAACCTTTTATCTACAAAATAAATGTGGTTTAAGAAAAACGTCTTTTAAAACTTAATCACAATCAAAATCAAACAAACAAAATTAAAAAAAAATAATCTACAGAGGATTCATAATTTCTTATAGAAACCCTTTTTAATAAAAAGTTCAGTGGTTTTTTAACGGATTTGAATATATAATCCGTTTAATTAACCAAGTTTTGAAGAATCTGTTAATAGTTATATTCACTCTGTTAATTTTGTGATTTTTAATGACAAATTACTTTGTTAATTTAATGGAAAAAAGCAATCTGTTGCTTTTTCTAACGGATTATTTTTAGAGTGTGTTTATAATTTTTTATTAGAAAAGTTTTTAAATTTGTATTACATGTCATTTTTTATCAAAACAGAAAAAAAAATTATTCATGTTTTTTTAACTTGGCTATTGATCAGAATATATACTTGGTATTCTCATTAGTTTGTTTAAGTTCTATTCACTCTAATTATAAGTGATAGTCATTGCGAAGACACATTATGTTGCCAATTTTTAGATCCTTTATTTAAAAATTTTTTGGTTAACCCTATAGCTACTACCACATGAATTTTGTCTACAATTTTTAGCTCTAAAAACAAAAAAGAATACCACACTGGAATATTCTTGCAGGATTACATACACTTTTTTATATATTGGTTTATTGTTTTTAACAGAGAAGTTTCATGATATAATAGTTGTTGTTTTTTTTTTTTTTTTTTTTTTTTTGATGATGCTAAGTTTAACTAAGTTTAATTATCTGAAAATATGAAATGTAACTATATAATTATCTGATAATATGAGATTTTTATATGGATTTATATGAGACTTTATATGGATTTTGACAATGCCCTTATAGGACATGTTTGTCATACAAACATGTTAAGTATATGGTGCGAATATTTTAAAATGATTATCAAGTAAATAAAATTATCTTTAAGAAAGTTTAATATTTAGATAAATTATTACATTATTAATGTATTAATTAATTTTAGTATTACATGTCAATTTGGAAAATATTTTAAAAAATTTTGTATTTAAAAAAGCATCAACAACAAAGAAGCATTTTTTTATTTTTTGCAAAAATTGTAGCCAATGTGCTTACTTTACACCAATTACTAACATTTTGATCTATTAACTAACATAATGCTTTACTAAGTTCTAGTTGAATTTGTTTTCTTTTTTCTTTTTTATTTTGATCTATTATTTTACATAATATTACAAATGTTGATAATGTTGATATTACAAATAACCTTACTCTAACTATGGGGTAATATCCAGAACCTACACAAAACATTTTTAAGTATAGTCATCCTTTTAAATGTTGGTGAAGATTGAGTGATGGGCAAAAAATAATATTAAGTTACCTTAAAAAAAATAGCAGAAGAAAATATTTTACAAAATAAAAATTTTGTAAATAAAAATGATTTTAAAAATGGTTTCAAAAATAATTTAATTCAATTTCTCATCAAGAAAAAACTTGATAACTAAAATATTTTTACTAAGAAAATTGTAAATTTAAATATGATGAAAGGGGAATATGATAGGTTAGGAAAGATTTGAGACTCCAAAGGTTTTTGATTTTCTAGAAACTAGATTGAATAAAAAATACGATAAGAAAAAAAAATTTTGTACCTTTTTTTTAATTTTTATATTTAATTTTTTTAATTATTTTTACTGTTTAACAACTGAAAAGTATTAGATATTTTCTGTTGATTTAGTATATAAATAATTTTATTTATTTTTAAGGTTACTCAAATAGTGTGGCTGTACAAAGTTTAATTGCAACTAAAAACATTGGTGTTCAACCTGCAATGGACTGGTAAACAGGTCTATTATTTTTTTAGATTTAAAAATAAGTTTTTTTGCATCTAAAAATAAAAAGTGATATTTTAATTTTCCTTTAATGCCCATGTAATAATAAATATTATTGTATGTAACATCAAATATTGATGAAAAAGGTCTAACTGATAACATGAAATTCTGAAATAGACTGTTACAAGTGTTAAACTTTTTTTACTTAAATACTACATGTATTTAGATTTTTAAAAAAGTAAATGTCTGTAATTAAAAGCCTAAAAAATAAAAAGTTTGAAAAGTGCAATAGTCTTAGATTGTTAGTTGTTCGGCTTAGTTGGATAGATTTTTAGTTGTTTGGCTTGGTTTATTAGATGTTTTGCTTGGTTTGATAGATTTAGTTGTATGGCTCAGTTTGATAGATTGTTAGTTTGTTTGGCTTGGTTTGATAGATCGTTAATTGTTTGTCTTGGTTTGACAATCAAGTGAGTTAACAAAATATCTGTATTATTGATTCAGGTTTATTCACTTGATACCTCATGCTTGAATGCCACATATCTAAAGTATCAAGATAAAATAGCTTTTTTTAAATTATCTTTATAAATTTATGTATTTTTTGTTAGCATTTGAAAATGGAGTATTAGTTAAGAAAATGGTGCACAAAAACATTAAAAAATACAAAGACAATTAAAAAATCTAAAAAAAATGCTAAAAATTATACATTTTTTCTTAAAGTAGTGGGCAAAGAAGTTGCAATGGCCTTGACCTACTATAACACTGCCAAATTTTTTGTCTTAAAATTAGTGAGCCAAAAAAATATGGGTTTGAAGTTAATAAATGAACCGATTTAACAATATTCAGATGGTTTAAATTACATATGTTTTACAAATATAAGCAATAGTTTATTTTGCAATGCTGAAAAAGTGCAATGCCGAAAGTGTTGCATTGTTGGTTGCAATCATAAGCTTAAGATTGAAGAATGTTTCAATAACAGGAACCACGTGCCATACAAAACTGTCTTTAGTTTTTCTGATAGAACTTCGAAATTGTTGGATGTTTGCCAACCGAGCTGATTGGAGCCTCATAGAAAACTCAGCGATATGTGTCAATCATTTTAAAGAGAAATACTAAAAGGAGGTAAACGTATAACATTGAACTATTCTGAAAATCTTATACTAGCAATTATTACCAAACAAAACAACCTATCAAAACCATCTCTAATGCAATCAAAATCTGCTTATGATAAGTTTCTGCAGTTCGTATATGTATAGGTGAAATTTTTTTCATATATATAGGTCAAGTTTCATTGCTAGATAAAAAACAGATGATTTTGGAAAAGGTATTACAAATAAAAACATTCTAGATCTAAATCAAAGTTTTTGTTCAGAAGGATTTTCATTTAAAAGATTTGATAACTGTGTGTTCTATCTTTGATTTTTTTTTTTTTTTGTAAAGGTGATGTTAAATAATAGGATTAGAAATGCAACTATTCCAGGTGATAAAAAAAACAATTTTTTTTTGAGATTTTGCAACATGGATTCATGAATGGAAAAAGATACAATTTAAAAAATGTAGTAATTATACTTTGTCTGTTCAAACAACAAATGCATTAATTACAACACTGAAGGGTACTACAAGTCTGATGGAAGATTTACTTTCAGAAGGATATAAGTATGTTTTAGCTAGCAGGTTTCAAACAGATCTATTAAAAAGACATTTCAGTAAATATTGTCAAATGAATGGTGGAAGATTTTTAGTTAGTTAATGTGAAGTTCAAAATTCTGAAAAGATGTTATGCATGAAATCTTTAATTAAAGTCAATATCAATAGTTGGACAACCAATATGAAATCTGAAATATGTGTGTGTTTTTCCAAACTTGTTTTTAGTTAAGTCTCTATACCTTAAGTAAACAGCAAAAAATTAGTTGATTTAAAGTTTTTTTTAAAAAAAAAATATAGATATTTACTTAAGAAACAAAAAACATATTTTTGAGATAAAATAAAAATATAAACTTTAAAAAAATTCCAAAAAATATTATATTTAACAAAAATTAACAAAAATACTTAAAAAACAATTTAAATTGAAACATTGTTTCATTATTATTAGGCTTGAGGTAAGCCATAATCAAGTCAGCCAAAAGAAAAGAAACTTGACCTAAAAATGCAATAAAATTATTTTAAACACATAATACACATTAATTACAATTGCAAAGTGCAATCAATTTTTTTGAAAAATCAAAAATGCAAATAATATACGAATAAGAAACTTACTTTTTATTTTTCCATAACCCTGATAGATCAACATGAATGTGAGCTAAGTCTATTAGAATAAAACATCACAACAATTAATTAAATAGCAGAACATGTTACAGTAAACTCTAGATAATCCACACCTTTAAAGGACAAAGAAATTAGTTTAGTTTAAAGAAAATTAGAGTTATTGGGAGTATAATATACTAAAAAAGCTTAACTGGAATTTTAAAATTAGTTTATATTGTTGAGGGTTGAGTTATCCTGAGTTTATTGAACATATTTTAACTACTAACTTCACATACTTTAAAAAACATACATAAACATTTAAAAAACAAAAATCTTTTACTTTATATAACACATCTATATTAACATTAACATATAGGAAATAACACATCATAAGCAATTACCACATCGTGAGACATTAATACTTATCAAAAATCATTACAAACATCACATTTTAAAAATGAAATACTATTTGTGTAATATACATTCAATGACATACCTTGTAGTGCATCTTAATCTTATACAATAAATTATAAAATGTCTTGGTTCTGGAACATGCTACATAGAATTTGGTTGTGTGAAAGCCAAGTCTCGTTGAGATTGCGGTAGTGGTGTAGTGGTAGAGTGCTCGCTTTATAAACGAGTGGTTCCGAGTTCGATCCCCACCACGTCCCTGGTAGTACCGCGCTCAACTCGTTTCTCCGCGCAGTGGCCTTGCTCGTCAAGGTTCGTGTTTCGGAGTTATAGAGTTGAGAGAGGGTTATAACCACAAATAAGTAGCCTCCTCGTCTGTAGTGGCCTTCTTGGCCTTGAGGAGGTGAATTAAAATAAAAAATAAAAAAAAAGATTAGCAGCAGCTAGAGATAAATAAAAGAAAATAGAAAATGCAATAAAACCAATCAATCGATGTAAGAAGTCAAGTATAAGTAAATAGAACAACTTACTTGTACCAGAGGAAGCAGCAGCTAAATATAAATAAAAGAAAATTAAAAATGCAATAAGACTAATCAAATAATGTAATTAGTCAAGTATAAGTGAGTACATCAACTTACTTGTTCCAGAAGAAGAAACAGCTAGATATAAATAAAAGAAAATTAAAAATGCAATAAAAACAGTCAATCAATGTAATAAGTCAAAATAATTTAAGTGAGACAACAACTTACTTGAAACAGAAGAATCAGCAGCTAGAGATAAATAAAAGAAAATAGAAAATGCAATAAAACCAATCAATCAATGTAAGAAGTCAAGTATAAGTGAATAGAACAACTTTTTTGTACCAGAGGAAGCAGCAGCTAGATATAAATAAAAGAAAATTAAAAGTGCAATAAAAACAGTCAATCAATGTGTTAAGTCAAGTGTAAGTGAGTAGAACAACTTTTGTTACTGAGTAAATTGGATTTGTCACTATATAAGCGATTATTTTTATTTATTATATCTTTTATCAGACATAAAACATAATACAGTTACTTACTAATGTAGCCTAAAATGATATCTATAAAAATAGGCCAAAAAGTCCAAAACTAATATTAAGTTGAAAACAATGCATTTAATTTTAGATGTACATAAATAATTAAGGTGTGTAATAAACAGAAAAGTAGTTTTATTCACCTATTGATTTTTGTAAATCTTCTAATTTTTCTAAATAGATAGAAAAACAAAATAAACAAAAAATTTCCAACCCGATGCAAAATTTGCCCACAGACCCTAAAACAGAAAGGGCCATTATTCGAGGGAGGAGCTAATTCGGCAGTGAAGGAAGCAAAAGATAAAAAGGAATTATAACTCCTTATGTGTTTGAAAAAATTTTGATCTACAGCATGATCAACATGGTTTCCTGTTATTAAATCAGTCAACAATGGTGGATACTGAGAATGAGGAGCTAATATAACTTTTCCTGAATGGCAGCACAAAAAATGAGTTTCATTAAAAAATTTCTTTGCACTTCAATACTGACAATTATGGTTGAATTCTCAGAAGTAATTACTCTCTGTAGCATTATTATTTTTTGCGATGCGATGCATATTATACCTATTCAGTTCTTGTCTAGCCTGATTTCTTTCATTTTGATTACAATTTATTTCAACTCGCCTAGACTCATCTCTTTCATTCCGAAGGTGGTTTATCTCAGCTCGCCTGGGCTCATCTCTTTCATTCCAACGGCGGTTTATCTCAGCTCGCCTAGCCTGTCTTCTTTCATTTTGACAAAGTCTAATAATTTCATTTCTTAAATTATTAAACATGATCATGCATCAAAGGAGTGTGTATAAATGATGCCTAATATAATAAAAAGTTGAAGTTTGAGTTTTCTTTTTTAAATTAATCCAAAATAAAGTGTAAGCAAATAATATAAAGCATAATATAATAATCTTTTATATTCTACCATATATAGCAATGTGTTAAGATAACATACTTTTATAAAAAGGTTAAGCTAAAGTTATAAATAAATTGATAATCTTTTAAACTAAGTATTATTACATATTAAAGGTGTTGTTATCAATTATTGACACAGTATTATTAGTATTTAATCAAAAAAACAAAAGTAAAGTAATTTAAAATATAGATTTTTTACATTTAAGAACTCATAAATAAAGCAAATTAAAAATAATAAGGCTTGTCTGCTCAACAAGTACTGCTAAAATATAAGGATAAAATGTAATCATTCATCATAAAAGCCCTTTCATTACTTTGAAACGCATTTAATGCAAGATTTGCAATAAATAAGTAAATACAAAACTAATGAAAGAAAACCTCTATAAACAATCATATATTTGCTTCAAGTGAAGAAACTTGGAAATATTGAAACTTGTTTAACTATTTTAATTTTTTTTAAATATCTAATTTTCTAAAGAAAAAAATCTATAATATATATTTTATACATATAATATATGTATAGACTTTTTAATTTTATATATTTTTTTGTATATATGTCATATATACATATACATATATGTATATATGTATATATATATATATATATATATATATATATATATATATATATATATATATATATATATATATACATATACATATATATATTTATATATATACATATATAATATATATATATATATATATATATATATATATATATATATATATGTATATATATATATATATGTATATATATATATATATGTATATATATATATAGAAAATTTGCTTATTTGAATTTATTATTGCTCTGTTCTTTAAGAACATTGAGCACTCTATTTGTAGAATATATATATATATATATATATATATATATATATATATATATATATATATATATATATATATATATATATATATATATATATATATATATATATATATATATATATATATACATATACATATATATATTTATATATATATATATATATATATATATATATATATATATATATATATATATATATATATATATATATAATACATATATATATATATATATATATATATATATATATATATATATATATATATATATATATATATATATATATATATATATACATATATATATATATATATACATATATATATATATATATATATATATATATATATATATACATATATATATATATATATATATATATATATATATATATATATATATATGTATATATATATATATATGTATATATATATATAGAAAATTTGCTTATTTGAATTTATTATTGCTCTGTTCTTTAAGAACATTGAGCACTCTATTTGTAGAATATATATATATATATATATATATATATATATATATATATATATATATATATATATATATATATATATATATATATATATATATATATATATATATATATATAGAAAAAAATGTTTCTGATAGCAATTTTTATACAAATGAATAGAGTTTCTACACAAATTCAATTCGAATTTCTAAGACTCTATGTTTCAAAAGTTTTTTTTTATTTTGACGTTTGAATTTAAAAATGTTTTTAATAGAAAATAACCCATTAGTACAGTAGCTTATTTTATTATTGGCAAAAAAATTGTAAAAGCCCTTAAGGCAGATATATAAAAACTATAGATTTTCTATTGAAATTTGATTCCGCTCACAATGTATTGCACCGGGTCAATGGTTAGGATTGGTTAGGATTTGGTTAGGATTCTTTAGCACTTATAATCACAATTATTCTGAAATAAGTTAGCAAATATTTTTTTTTTCTTACAAAATGATTGTGTTCTGCTAAAAATTACTGAAAAATTAATTAAACCTCTGGAAAAAGATATGAATTGTTTCATTATCTTTTTCCAACTTAACATTATATTTATTACTTCCTGATAAATATAAAATAATTGGCTTGAGAAAAATGAAAAAAGAAAATTCAACATTGAATTAGTTTTTAGTTCAAATATTTACTTTAAAATATAAATTATATTAAACCAATGAAATTTCAAATAAAATAAAATAAAAATAAAAGTTTATGAAAAATTTGTTTTTATTCTCTTTTTTTTCAAATAAAACAGAATAAAAACCCAAGATTATTTATATGGGAGAATTTTGAAAAGTTTTTGAAAAGTTTTTGAAAGTTTTTGAGTTTTTGAAAGCCTTAATTTCTCCCATATAAAATATTTAAGTAAAAGTTAATTATGAAAAGGACTTCTTCAAAAGACTAACCTAACCTAGATAATAAAAACCTGGGGCCTAAGTTTTTGAGTTTTTAGGGTCCAAAATTTATGGATCCTAGGGCCCTAAAACTTTGTCCTATGGATCAAAAGGATAAATCCAGCCTTGGTGTTGATACTTTGATTGAAAATGAGTTTTGAAGGTAATTTTGAGTTAAATGGAGAATAAAGCATTTTTTTCATTTTTGCACTTTTTAATTTTTCAATTTTTACAAAAAGTTATTGAGTTGAATGCTTTCACAAAAGAAAAGTATATTAGTAGATTAAGTTAATTAAAATTATTAGGTTGTCTTTATTTTTAATGAAGAATGTTTTTTACCTTTATCATTGTTTTTGTTTTTTTCAATTTTTTTTAATCTTTGGAATAAACTATACAGCTATGCACAAAAATTTAATCAAGATGATAATTTTAATCTTTTAGCTATACAATTAACATAATAAGATATGATAGTTGAAAAAAATAATTAAAAAAAAAATATATATATATATATTTATACAATCATAAAATGTAATAATATTTGCATAAAAGTTTAATCGAGTTAAGGTTTAAATCACAAAAAATTAAAAAAAAAAAAATTAATATTTAGAGTGCCTTCCTTTGGCTTGATAGCAAAGAAGAACTTGTCTCTGCATTAAATTGACCGATATCATGCACATCTCATGTGGCATCCCCTTATGCCCACTGAGCCTCCACCACCTTGTCGTCTTGCTTGTAAATAGCACTCATAATATTTTTTAGTAGCAAACCTTTTAATGTATATTCTTCCTTTGCGGTTCACAACCTGAAAATATGACTTATTGCTCAAAATCACTTTTGCCCAATCTTCAACTGTCCAATGTAAACGTTGTTTGCACCATTTTTGTCTATTTCGTTGGTCCATGATTGACATGATAGGCTTTCTTATTACAATATAAGACCCAATACCTTTTTTTAGTAATGTTCTTCTAATAAGTTCTTAGCTTACATTTCGATAATAAACGAAATGGTTGAATATTTGAGCTAGCTTTTATTGCTGAGCCTAGGATTTTTTCTACTGGTTCTGAATATGCTATTTTTGTCATGGTCACTAAGTTTCAGTGGTCTTCCAGAACGAAGCATGTCAACGACATTACCTGTTAGCTCCCAGGTTTTCACTGTTTTGCAAGCAAAATTCAGAAACACCTGTAAGTTTACTAATATCAATGTTGTTATGATTCTTTAATTTGACCAGTCCAATAATTTGCCATTTGATACTCTCTTACACTGTTTTTCTACCCATTTGCAAGTGAATTAAAATTTAAAAT